TCAGTTATAATCATCAACATTAAAAGAATTAAACATTTGAAAGATATCAGTCTGTGTGTAATGAATTAAAATAATATACAAGTTGCACTTTTTGAATGGAATTACTGAAATAAATAAAAAATGTTATGATATTCTAATTTTATGACTAGCACCTGTATATATAAAAATACTAAAATAAACTACTACTTACTACTTGCACAACTATTCCTACTTTGCAGTTTTCCATTTCTTGTGGAGCTTCCGGGTACAGATCCACCGCGATAAACGAGGGACTGTACACCGAAACAAGTGTTTGCTAAAGTGTTTTTCTGTTCTCTTTTCTGTGGGATGTGAAAGCAACAAGTAACATTGTGACTCTGAAGCGACTGCAGCCACATTATACAAGTGTTGACATGCAACACATTATTTCCTGCAGGCAGACTAAAATGAATATCCCCTTAATTTGTTTTTGCTTTACACAGCCTGGAAAATGAATGAACGTTCTTCATGAGCTATTTGCATTAATTCAGGGGCTGTGTGTTTGTTGTGCATTTTAATGCAGAATGTCACAGTCCTCTCCAAGCATCGAGGTGACCGATCAAAGCTCACCTATAAACCGAGATCGGGGCTCGTGTTAGCACCCAGCTAATGAATTTATATCCGCGGCTCAGGTTGTACACTGTGCTCCACTAGAGCATGATTATAATATTAATGCAAGTAGAAGATGGAAGCAGCAAGCTCGTAGATACAGAAATATAGACAGCATGGCAGAGCAAACCAAGTTGTTAAATCTGCAGCGAGGAACCAAACTCTGGTCCAAAGCCTGAAACCAGAAGAGTGTAGGCAGTGATAACAGCTGCATAATCCTCATGGTTGTGGAATTATTTCTAACAAACCGTTATGGAGATAACTTGTGGGTGCCCACAAGCTAAAATGCATCAGTTGCAGCTGATATTTTATGTCCAAGCTGAATCTGGGTTTTTTATTATTTTATTTATTTAGCTTGGTGGATATACTTGAAGCCCTTTTCTTTTCTATTAGAGAATAAATCCCTTTTTAAAAATCTGCATCTGTAAGCCCGTGAATAGATTTGGCTTCGCCCCAGTGGTGAGGCAAGCATCTGCAGGGGGAGCTTAGAAGCTGTGCCAGGTTGTGTAATGTTTGCAACGACTGGTGGGACTGCGAGGCACAGCGTTTTCCATGCTAATGACTCAAGCTGTCCTCTGGCCAAGGTCAAGCTGAGGCTCAGCTGCTGCCAAGGAGAAATGAGGTCTTTAAGCTTTGCCTGACACTCGGTGGCAGATTGGGTGCGGAGGGGTGAAAGGTTGGCAGATTATCTCCCAGGCTTGAATATCCGCTTGCTGTCTTAATCCGCCGATGTGTGTTTGAAGTGAACAAAAAAAGAAAGAATATACAGGGAGAGATGGAAAATATGAGCAAAATAAAAACAAGGAGATGCATTCAAGAACTATGAGCTGTATGTAAGAGTCCAAACGGCCTCAGGTGTCCTTTCATCTGTCTGGTTGTTGTGGCAGTGGAGACAGGAACAGTGTGACGCGGCCAGATGAAACAGCTGTTTATTGGAATCTGGCGTGCTGAGATAAAAACTTGACGTTGCTTTGATTCAGCCGTTCTTGCCCCACGGATGTTTAGCTGGATGGCTGTTTACAACAAGAGGCTCGTTCTTGGGATGTTCTGTTTATCGCTGTTTGTGTCGCGGCCTGCAGGGCTGAAAATTACGACATAATCAGGACTTGCTTACTAAATAGAAAAAGATTAATAAAAAGGAATGAAAATGTTGGTTTTAGTTCTGTGTGAATAAAAGCTGAAACTGAAGTGAAACTCCAAACTTTCAGTCCATCAGAGCCGCGTTGTTTCTGAATTGTCCCAAAAAGCATCAGGTCAGGTGTTTTAGTTCTTACACAAAATATAATAAATTGCTTTTATTTGTGTTATTTCAGATTTAATTAGAGCGATGATTTTCAAGCATTATTTTTTGTATCTTTTCCAGCCAAATAAAATGTGTTTTCATAAGTCTGACACAGGGGTCTGCAACCTTTTTGATCAAAGAGCCATTTCTGCTCCTTCACTCATTAAATAAAAAAGAACCCGGAGCCACGAAACCTGCTACAACTGTGATGATCAACTGCTGGCCCATGGGCCACTTTGAGTTAGCTGGAGGGGGATTCTCTGACCAGTTGGGGTGACGTTTTAAAACTAATATTCAATAATAAATGTCAACATTTATTCATACGTTTACATCTTTAGATGAAAATGAAAACCCTGAACTCTGCAGGCCTGTGTGGCCTTTTACAAAGTATATGAGGAGAAATCAAGTATCCCACTTTGAAGTGATAGTAAAAAATATTAGTGTCTTTCAAACATTTGCAGAAAATTGACAAAATAACTGTCAACATTAGCCTTTATTGTTGTGGGTATAAAAGCAGAACAATTACATTTCTTGTAAGTTTTGGTCAAAGCTTCATAGAGCTGCAGACGAGGGACTAAAGAACCACACGTGGCCCCAGAGCCACAGGGTGCAGACCCCGGCTCTGACAGAACCATATCAACTGTTCTAAACCTTCAACAACAAAACTTTCCCAAGTGCCCAGTTTGATTTTAGTGTTTTATTTATTATGTTATTTATTTTTCCTGAGTCTATAGTGTTATGGGGCGGACCTTGTTTTCCATCCATCCATCATCTTCCGCTTGTTCCCAAGTCAAGTCTCGGGCGCAGCAGCTTGAGCAGGGAGGTCCAGACATCTCTTTCCACAGACAACTCTTCCTGCTCTTCAGGGAGGATGCCAAGGTGTTCCCTGGGTCTTCCCTGGGGTCTATTCCCAGTCAAACATTTATGGAGCATCCTTACCAGATGCCCGAACCATCTCAATTGGCTCCTCTCGATGTGGAGGAACAATGTCTCTACTTTGAGTCTCTCCTGGATAACTGAACTTCCAGTCCAGCTACCCCATAGAGAAAACTCGTTTTGACCTCCAGTACCCACAATCTCAATCTTTTGGTCCCTACCTAGAGTTTGTGACCATAGGTGATTGTAGGAATATAGACTGACTGGTAAACAGAGAGCTTTCCCTTACAGCTCAGCTCCCTCTTCACTACAACGGACCGGCACAGAGTCTGTAATACTGCAGATGCTGCACTGATCCATCTGTCAATCTCACGCTCCATTGTTTCCTCACTTGTGAACAAAACCCCGAGATACTTGTCTCCTCCACTTTTTAACCATGTTTTAGTAAGGTACAGTAACTATGGCAGGTAATTCAGGTCTTGTAATTCAGATGAGTATTTTGAGTGATTTCCTGGAAATGTGAGATTTGCTGAATGAAATGAAGTTGTGATCTGGAAGTGGTCAACGCACTGCTAGTTTCCCACACTAACGCAACGTAGCTGGCATGATGTGTCACTGTTATTTGTCCATCTTCTACCACTTTTCTGTGATTCAGTTGTGGGGATATCAGGTCTAAGAGGAAAATCCAGGCATTTTTCTTCCCAGCAACACTCTTCAACTCCCCCCAAATAATCCCAAGGTGTTTGCAAGCCAAAGACGATATGTAATCCTTCCAGTAAGTTCTGGGTCTGCCCTGGGGTCTCCTTCCAGTGGGACATACCTGAAACCTCAGGAGCCTATCTACAGGAGGCATCATACTCAGTTGCCCAAACCACCACAGGTGACTCCTCTGATACAGAGGATACAAGCTCTAATCCGAGCTCCCTGTGGATGAAGGAGCTCCTCACCTCGTAAGGCTGAGCCCAGCCACTCTATAAAGGAAGCTCATCATGGCCGCTTGTGTCTGGGATCTTGTTCTTTTTGGTTGTGATCATGTTGAAAACCACAGGTCAGTTATGACATAGACCAGTAACTGAGAGCTTTTTCATTTGACACAACTCTTTCTTCATCACAACTGACCAAAGCAACGCTCTCATTACTGAGAATGAGACTCAGATTCTATCCTAACATCACTCGTGAACTAGTTCCTGAATGTCATAAAACATATTTATTGTTTTTATTGATTTATCAAGAGATTATACAATGTTGTTTGCGATATAAAACACTATACAAGTGCAAATACAGAGGAAAAAAAGTTCAAATTAAAAATTTAATAAAAATAAAAGGAGTGGAGGAGGGGGGTCTAAAATAAATAAGAATAGTTCACAATATTTTTAACTTCGTCACATGATGGGTTAATTACATGATTCTACACACTAAGAAGATAAAGATTTGAGGTACTCCACAAAGGGTGTCCACTTGCGAGTAAATTTGGCTGAGTTACCCTTCACTGTTAGTAAAACTTCTCCAGCCTTGAAAACAGTGTTAAGCCATATTAATATAGATGGAGGTGTGGGAGATTTCCACAGGAGTAAAATACAGCGTCTAGCAAGAAGGGAACAGAAAGCTAAAATCTCGTTTTGCAGGGGAGATTGGTTAAATGTGGTCATTGGAACCAAAAATGTCAATTGGTGGGTCAAAAGAAAAAAAAAACATATTTCTAATTATGCCAAGTATGTCACTGTGAAGTATCTCAAGTTACTGGTTTTCACATTAAAGGAAAATGTGTGTATTTTTCCTGCATGAAAGAATATAAACCAAATCAAATTCAATTTGAAAAATAAAAAGACTGCAATTATGTGTTCAAGGATTTCTTATTTCCTTTTTTTCCTCTCTGAAAGTGTTGCATGGATGATTTACCCATACCATACCACACCATTTAATTTCTCAAGCACTTGAAATACAACATAGTAGCTGACCGAAGTGCTGTACAAAAATACAAACAAAGAACAAGAATAAAACAATAAGACAACTATAAAAAATTAGAAATGAAATCATCACAAATACAAGGAATGAGTACAATATTAAGACACAGTTGCTAGCTCCTGCCTGACCTTCAGCGGCAGCTCATTCCACAATTTAGGAGCCAGAGCTGAAAAGGTTCTGTCTCTTCTAGATTTATAAAAGGTATTCAGGTCTGCTAAAAGCATCTGGTCAGACGATCTAAGAGCACGTGATGGCATATAAAGGTGAAGCAGTTCAGACAAATAAGGACTAAAACTATTCAAAGACTTAAAAACCAAACAATAGAACTTTAAAATGAATTCAAAACTGGACAGGAAGCCAGTGAAGGGACATGAAAGCTCGAGTTATGTGCTCCCTCCTACCTGCACTAGTCAAAAATTGTGCAGCAGCACTTTGTACCAGCAATAAGCGTGAGAGGGATGCCTGGCTAACTCCAATCAAAAGAGAGTTACAATAATCCAGATGTGAAGAAATCAAAGTGTGGATCACTGATTCTAAGAGGCACCTAGAAAGGAGGGGCTTGATTTTTGACAGGTGCCTCAGCTGAAAGAAAGACAACGTCAAATTTTAAGCAGGGGTCCATTTTCACCCCTAAATTTGTAACAGTGGATTTTTCATGAGGCCAGAGGAAAAAAAATCAAAGGTGGGGATACTGCTAGCACCGCTGGATTTAAAGACCATAACCTCAGTCTTTTATTCATTAAAATGGAGGAAATTAAGTGCATTCATCCTCTAATGTCAATGAGACAGTCCAGAAGAGACTGAGTGGCGCCATTATGTTTCAAACGGAAGTAGACTTGACAGTCATCCACATATAAATGAAACTGCACACCATGCTTTCTGAAAATAGAACCCAGTGGCAGAAGATAAAGTGAGAGCAGGAGAGGACCAAGAATAGAGCCATGTGGTACCCCCCAGGGGAGGGCAGCAGAAACAGAGGTAAAATGATCCATTATCACACCCAACTTCTATCAGAAATGT